CCCCAAAACCCCAAAACCCCAAAACCCCACGAGATTTAATTTATAATAATTTTGAAATATTGCATTGGTAATAATATTTTTTGACTAATATATTTAAATCATGAATGATAAATTTCAATAAGATAGGAGTAGTAATACTTGGAATGAGCGAAATCAGTACTTATCAACAGGAGCAAACACTAAATTAGATAAAAAGCGTGTATCCTCATCATTCAGTTATTAAAGTGAACACCTATAACAAAATGATAAGTATAAAAACGATGAAATTGACTATAAAACAGCACTCTCAGATGATAAGAGGTAGTACAGAACTAGAAGCCATAGATCTTTACAAGAATAATTAAACTACGATGATTACGAGGAGCTTAAAGATGATAACGAAAACTAAACTACAGTATATTTGAGTCCAACGAAGGAAAACTCATTTCACAGACGACACTCAACTAAGAATTAGTTTTTGCCTAATATTAACGAAGATCTTCAGTTTTAATTTCTTGATTCAGAGAGAAAGCAGAAAAAAGGTTCTAGTGACGGGGATGAGTACGATCAAGATGTATAAATTGAGTAACAATAGTACTTTGTCAATGAAGAAAAAGTGATTAAAAATCACCTTAAGCTTAACTTAGGTTTGCAAGGAGCATAAATAATAATATTTATTCTTGCAATCCTAATATTTGATTGGACTCACCTGCATGTAACAATTGAAAAAGATCATGTGAGAGATTATCATGTAACATTAATGCAACTTGAGACAGATGACGAATATAAGGAGGTAACGTGGCTTTATAGTTTGACTAATAGCTGCATTGACAAGGAGTCAGGAGAGGCTAGCTCAGTTCCTGATTAGCTTTGTGAAAGAGCAGGCTCGTTGTTTTTAGCAGGAGCTTTTGTAAGAATCTAATTATTTGTTTTCATAATAATCTTTAGACTGGAGTTGGTCTTAGCATATGCGTTATATTGAACATTTATATAACATTAAGTTTGGCACTTTTCATTAAGAAATTCCAACTTTCACCCTTTTAAATGGTAATTTATCTCAAACCTTATTCCCTTTTAGGTGGTGATAAAATACATAATTTTTGTCTATGTATTCTTAGTTATTTTCTATTTAGTTGTTAGCATGAGTTTTATTTACGTTGCTGATATTGGCTTAGGACAATACTTTTCAATGATTGGCATAATCTTTGCTGTTCTATCGCGACAACATTTCCTCAAGCTAAACAGAAAAATAATTCACCTATCGCTAGTTAAGAATTTTATGGTAGACGAATAGTGAAAATTAAAGTGTGAGGAGTGAAAAATAATCTTATAAAATTAACAGTAAATAATAAAAAAGAGAAGTATTCTGCTAAATTGATAGAAATCTTGTTAATAAGAAAGAAAAGGCCGATGCCTTTTAATATAGCAGTAGATTTGAGTTTTTTTATATCAAATAGATCTTAAACTTCTATGCTTGTTTTTAAATATCATTATATAATGCTCAATAATAAATAGTTATCTCTGATTACGGGGTTTTGGGGTTTTGGGGTTTTGGGG